AGCCTATGCTGGGGTCTTCAAACTCCAGTTTGGGAAAAGCCAAAGCATGGAAAGGAACAAGGAACAGCAGCCAGGTCTCTTAGGCAGATCTCCAGATTTTATCAGTTTTGCTCATGGGAATGGCAGAGACCTACCCTGGTTCACACCAGCTGATAGGTGTCCTGTTGGGCATGAACAGCAACAGCTTCCTGCCCAGCCTGCTCTTTCTGCTACTGGAATTCACTAAGGATTGTCTGCAACATCATAGCCCACAGCCAAGGAAATGAATGTGATGCCACAAATTTGCTATGATGCTTCACTTCAGGAACAAGCAAAACAGGAGCTGGCAGAGAAAGAACATTTGCTCACACAGACAGCTTTGATATTTAGCCAAAATGGCAAGAAATTGTATGAAAGACAAGACAAACAAACAGTTTTGGGGATGTTGTGTGTTTTAAAGTTGCCTGCAGTAGGGAAATGTTACTTTTAAATATACTTTCCTGAAATAATTGCTATTGAGAGCAGGAGTGTGTAATTTATCATTGTTCTGGATTAAAAGGATTGGCAAAGATGATTTGGGTGAGTGATGACCTAATGTACCACTAGGTCTCCCTTTTACAGACCAAGATGACAGGTACATGTGTTTGATGTGAAGAGTTGTCCTGTTTCTCAAGCTGCAGCAAGAGGATTAACTGGAGGAACGTGGTGCAGTAGAACAATTCCTACTGCAGTGCATCCTGCAGCTGAGTATCATAGAGGGAACTGCAAATTTTGGCAAATTGAATGATAGAGTCAGCCCTCTTTTTTATGGATGGGGAAAAGAGCAAACAGAGAGCTCAAACTTGCCCAGAAGGTGCTCAGTCAATGCATAGCAGAGGAAGGGAGAGAAAGCCAATCTGATTGCAGGACCATGGAAATGTTTAGGTTGGAAAAGACCTTTAAGATCATTGAGTCCAACCCCTACCCCAGCACTGCCAAGGCCACCACTAACCCACATCCCCAAGTGCCACATCCACAGGGCTTTTAAATCCCTCCAGGGATGGGGACTACACCACTACCCCTGCTCCAGTGCTTGACCACTATTTTGAAGAAATTTTTCCCAATATCGAACGTAAACCTCCCCTGGTGTGACCTGAGGCCATTTCCTCTTGTTCTGTCCCTGTTCCCTGGGAGCAGAGCCCTACTACTCCCTAGCTGTCCCCTCCTGTCAGAGAGTTGTGCAGAGTCACAAGGTCCTCCCTGAGCCCCCTTTTCTCCAGGCTGAGCCCCCTCAACTCCCTCAGCCACCCCTGGAGCTCCAGCCCCTTCCCCAGATCCATTCCTTTCCCTGGACACTCTCCAGCACTTCCATGTTTTTCTACTGGATTCGAGGGGTGGCCTCACCAGTGCCCAGCTCAGGGGACAGCCCAGCCCTGGTCCTGTGGCCACACCAGAGCTGATCCAGGCCAGGTGCCTTTGGCCTTCTTGGCCACCTGGGCACACTTGGACTCATGTTCAGCTGCTGCTGACCAGCGTCCTCAAGTCCTTTCCCAGTTTCCCAGCCACTCTGTCCGAAGCCCGGAGAGCTCCATGGGATGTTGTGACCCAAGGGCAGGACCTGGTGCTTGGCTTTATGAATCCTGTACTACAGCCACAAGATCATTCTCCTCATCCTGACACAGATGCCATTTAACAAGAAAACTCTTTTGTTCAAAGGGACATTAACCAGTAATGAGTTTGTTTAAGTTAAGAGTTGTGAATCTCAGAAAATAACACTTTGTTTTAAAAAGCTGTTTAAAAGTCAGGGCATACAGGATGGCACTATCTTAGGCTGATCTGGAATGATTTAATTATGATAGTGATAAAGCCCAACTGGAATGTAGTGGAGGTGGTGTTTGCTTTGAGCAGTGAGATACAAAACCCCAAAACTGCCAAATTCAAAAAAATATTGTGTTGTGTTTGCAACGGGTTACCAACCAAAGAAAATCAAGAAGAGATCTGAGATAAGATAATGTTGGGTCTGCTTCTGGTATCAAAGATATGTTCTATTGAAAAAGGTTTTGTGGAGGAAAAATGAACCTCCCAAACCTCGTGAATCCCATCTCCATTGTGCCATCTGACTGAGGAAAATGTTGGCTTTCCAAAAGGAAAGGATTCACAGGATTCACAGCTGAAATTGTCAGCTCCCAGAGCATGTCTGGCCACCCAGTAGTGGCAAATCCCCAGTGTGCATCTCCAGGGGCTCTTCCTTCCTTGGACAGCACTAATGTTCATGTTTTGGTTAATGTCACAGCTGGAGAGTTTCACTATTGCTCTGAGAATCATTAACCACCTTGTTGTGATTTTTAGCTCTCGTTCCCAGGAGGCCATGCTGTATTGAACAGCTGCTCCTGGCTCCTGCACCCCTCAGGAGGGCCATATTCCAATTTTTGGTTGGGCCGTGACTGCATTTTGTTTCTGCTGAGGGCTTTCTGCTAGACCAAAAAAGGGAAGGAGAATGGAGCAAATGCCAACCCCTTTCACTCCATTTCCTCGGGAGGAGGGGGGATCATTCTCTTCCACACGGCTAAGGAGAGAGTCTGGCCAAAATTTAACACCACTCCTGCCTTTGTTGCATTAGTGACTTTCCAATATCCTCAAGCTCTGCGGGGCAGTCAGCCATAGCCCGGTGACACTCCCAGAACCGGTGCGCTCCAGCAGCTCGTAACCATGGAAAACACCTTTTTGTGAGGCTTTTATGGAACTCTGGTGAATCTGCACTCGCTGTTTGAAGGCTAATATTTAGTTAAGGAAAAAATAAACAGGGAGGGAAATAGAGGGTTGGTCCTGATTGACACACTGAATGGAGCCCAGTGGGTCCTCCTGGCAAACCCTGCCTGCGACGCCTCAAACTTCAGTTTGCTTTCCTCTTTATGTGGCCAGTGCTTCCACTAGCTTTGGTTTACATGTCATAGTTTTTCTCAGAAAAGATTTCCTATAATCTACTTTTCTGTAAAATTTTTCCCTAAATTAAATTATATGCTTGTTTACAACTCGAGTCACTGTTATTCAAACCCCTCACCAAAAGGAAGATGCGTGCCTGAATATGTACAGAACTATATGTTTAGTCATCAGCGTGGCTAATTAACAAACAGTAATTATTTTCCTAATCTTTTGTTTAAATACCATTAACTGGCTGCTCTTGAGAAAACCTCCATTCCCAATTAACGTGGCAGCTGTCTGCTGCTGAACACAGAGCCCAGTGACCAGCCCCAAGCAGACACCGATGGGTGTCCTGCTCCCTTCAGAGGAGAAATACCCATTTTTCTGCCAGCTGAGAATCTGGCTAGACACACTCTGAGCTTGTTTACACAATCACAGTATCATAAAAATTAAGATTAGTGCTAAAATGTTGTTGGGAATTTTTTATCTTTTCTTTCTGACACCAAACACTGCCAGTAAACTGAGTCACAACCATAATGACAAGTACACACTGACCTAGTTTTGTTTTTCCCGGTTCTGAAGGCAAGGAAATAGTAAGGCACTGCTGACTGTGTTCAGTGATAACTATGACTAAACATTAACCTTTTTGATCCCACCGCTGAATCTTATTGATAGGACTCAAAAGTCCCCTCGGAAAGTGTCAAACCTTCCCGATCGCACCAGTGTTGGTCTAAGGTCAGCAAGAGGAGCGGAGGGGAGGGAATGAATCAACTTCTTCACTCAACAAAAATCTGCTGATCAATTCGAGAAGTCCTGATTCTAGAAGATCGTGTTCACAGTCTTACCAGACTGTCTCATACTAAAACCCATTTCAATTTCCAAGCGAGCCAGAGCATCTTGCTGAGTTTGCAGTTGATGCACTATCGTGTAGCAGAAGGCAATGAAAACCTCTGAGGAACTACCAGATTTTAAAAATGCCCCTTGGAACCTGTGCAAGTCTCCTGAACAGTGTATAAAGCTTTAGAAATGTAGGCTTCACTTGGTCTGAAGAGTGAGTACCTCTTTGCACATCCAGCAGTGGTTGCATATAGCATTTAAATAATAAGCTTGAAAAGCACACAAAGGGATTTGCTCTTTCGATTAGATTGATTTTTGTTTGTGGATGTTATTTGGACTCCCTTCACTGTGGAACAAGTCCCCTACAGTTGCCATTAAAGCACTGAAAGCTTCCCTTTTGTTTTTAAATGTCAGTTTGAGCATAGCTTCATTAAATCATTTCACAATTAACTCCCTGAACATCCAGACTTTTTTTTAAAGCATCAGACACAGCTGAATTGCATTTGTTTCCCAGAAGAGTGACTCCAAAGTGGTATCCCCAAGTGTGTATCCAGGAATTCGTAAATTTGACTTGTGGCTACACAAAATGCATATGGGAGCCGTGTGGGTGGTGGGAGAGGATTAGAGCTTTCTCCCTGGCCCTAAGACATACCAAAACTTCTTGCCTAAAATGCACAGCGTAAGGGAAAGATGTCTGGCTTAATCTGGGAAGATTTATTCCCAAAAGAATGACAATTGAAGTGAACTGGAAAGGGTTGTTAGTTAGCCCAGTGTGTATAAGCAGGGATGTTTTCAAGGAGATTGCCTGACTTCCATGTAGGATCTATCCTCTAAAGCCTGGCTTGAGACACAACTTATCACAGAACCATGGAATAGTTTGAGTTGGAAGGGACCTTAAAGATCACCCAGTTCCAACCCCTCTGCCACGAGCAGGGCCACCTCCCACTCGGTCAGGTTGCCCAGAGGCCCATCCAGCCTGGCCTTGAGCACTTCCAGGGATGGGATATCAACCTGAATCCTCATGGCAGCAAACGAGACCCCAAAGATCCGAGTTCCGCGTCACAGCCGAGCCACCAGCCTCAACTCCCCTCGCACGTGGTTATGTGAAACGCCAACCAAGTCAAAAATAAAGCTGCAACCTTGAGCTAAGGCTTTCCCTGCTAACACAGAAGCAGCTCAGAGTTTTGTCCATGGTGGAGAGCAGAGAGCTCTCCTGCTTCCCAAGGTGTGTGCAGTCCTTATCCCTGCCGGTAGCCCGTGGATCCCGCTGCGTCTATACTTACTTGGAGAAGTGGGAGAGGTGGCCCCTCCTTCTGTTGATGTGGTTGGAGGTTTTGTGTCTGGCACTGGCAGAGGCACAGGCCTAGCCATTGGTGGCGGAGGTGGTGGTGGCAACATTGGGGTAGGAAGGAATGGATTGTGCACCTTGCCTTGGCTGCTACCATTGGGCTGCCGAGAAACAAGCAAACAGACAAAAATTATACTAAAAATCAGCTATTAGGAACCTCCAGTAAAAACAAATCTAGTTAAAAACCTGTGTGCAATACATTTACAGTTACTTGAGAGGTGGTAAAGAAAGTGCTGGCTCAAATTCTCCACGGACTTCAAGGATCTTTGTGTCAAACTCTGTGAACCTTGTGAAACTATGGCAATTCTGGCTTTTAAACTCTTGTTCTGTTAGCAGCTTGTCTGAACTAAGATTAAATTGTCCTGGATTAAATTCTACTCCTCTTTACATTTCCTTCAGCACTAACCCATGCTCAGTGAGAGGTGGAGCAGTATTTTTGACCCCTAAAATCCCCCAGTTTTGTGCCTCTGTTATACCCTCAGGATATCATTGTCTAGGACTTGAGTGTAAATTTCTTAAAGATACTGCTCATTAAGAGAAAAAACAAGCATTTTTGGTGGTCTTAAAAATCATGCTGATATCTCATTACAGGAAAATGAATGAGTGTATATTAAAATAACTGTTCTCCCACATCCCTTTTGAGTTAGCAGTAGTGTAGCTCTTGGTTTAGCTGCCATTAGGATCACATGGAGAAATGACTGAACTTAGAACAGCTTCATTTTACACACTGGGAGAAAAAACCACCCTCCCTTCAGTCTGGGATGTGGTCAGTCACAGGCTGAAGGGGATCAGCTATATGAGTGTGGTCTTTCAATTAATCACTAGAAAAATGTGTCCGTAAGTAAAAGTGTTTTCAAGTATCACAAAAACAGGAATCAGGCTTAGAAAAACATGCCAACCCTCCCCCCAGCTTATTAAGTTTACATTTTAAATGTAACCCAGCCTGGACACTTGAAAACCATACAGATAGATGCCAAATACCATTATAAAGAGAAAGTAGGACAGGCTGTGAATCAGGTGTTCCATTTTAGTGACAAAAATGATGAGATCATTTTCGACAGCACTCTACAAATTGATCTCACTGCAGCTCTTTTGGCACTGAACATTGGCTTTTCCATTGATGATAAAAGCTCAGCTTTAAACACAGATCCATATTCTAAGTACTGCTAAAGAAAATAATATTTTAATTCCTGATAGGGTTTCCATTAGCCTGAATGGCCGGGGACAAAACACCCATCCTGGCAAAACACTTGGAACTTTATTTTCATTTCACCTGCTCTGGCACTGACAAAAGGCCTTAAAGTCGTGGAGGTGCAAATCACACTTGTGCTAGAGCAAAAAATGGTTCAGGGGATAAGCAAGACTCAAGTTCATCTGCATTTAACTTAGCAGCACTCCCACAGACTTCAAAGACTGCAGTTACTAGAGTTTGCAGCAAGAAGCAATCCTTCAGGGATGTTTATTTTTCCAACATCCAGCACCTTTAATAAACTAATATATTAGTGACATCTCTCAAACACTATCTTGTCTCCCAATTAGGTTCCTTTCCTGCCAAGAAGACCCCCGCTGCCTGTTCATTGTGAGTGTGCTAACAGTTCATAATGCTGAATGGTTTGGGATAAATTAAGCAAATGAATACTCAAGGAAAAAGAAAAGCACTGTATTGATTTGTTGTCTAGACATAAATGTATCTGCTAACATATTGCAGACATTATTCAAAGCCAGGACTGGCTGGAATAAGTAGAGTCAGTTTTTCTGCTGGGGAAAGGAAAACACTGAGAACAATACAGCTTATTAAATAAGTGTAATAAATTAGATGCTAATAATTAAACTAATTCTCATTAACACTTTCAGTATGTCAGGAGAGAAGCAGTAATTTTGCCAGTTATTACTTCATTGGCTGGAAAAAGTTACATGCATTACATTTCATGAAATATTCAGAGCATTATTTTAGATTTGATTTACATAAATTTTATAAATTCTGTATTCGTCCAGAATGCTATTTCAATAATAGCAAGATGATTCACTTTATTTGATTAAAAAAAAATGAGAATGGTTATTTGAAGCTTTGGAACTCTGCTTAATTTTTCATAGAGATAAGGGGAAAAGATAACTGCTTACAGAAATAACAAACCATAATAAACTGTACTTTTAACATCTTGAGTTCAAGTACTGGTCAACTTGATCTAAAGTGCTATAAGGCAGTATCTTTTTTTTTTTTTTTAATGAACTTAGCTGATCTGAAACATCTGTTTCTCACCCTCCCTTTTCCTGCTCTTTCCCCCCCACTCTCCCCTGAACTTCAAAAATAATTAATAAAAATTATTCTGCCTTGGTATTTTGTTAACCCTGGTTCCACAAGGGTTACAACACATGCAGCAAAGTCGTTTGTGGGGGGACCCAGCAGGTCACTGAAGCACCAGCTTCTCTGACACTTTAAGCTACTTCCACCACAATGTGGTCGAGTGGTTTTTGGGGGAGGTGTCTTCTTGTTTTTTAAAATACTTTTGCAGCACAGCATTATTATTATTATTATTATTATATATACATTTATTTGTTGTTGTTGTTGCTCTCCCTTCCAGCAACTACTCGAGGCACGCTCCTTCAGGCGACATGCTGTTAAAATAACCCCATCAATAACCCCATGGTTAATTTTTACAAAGGACAAAACACTTCTGAAGAAAGAAAAACGGCTTCCTTACATTTAGGAACCCCACCTGTCCAGCCTGCTGACCAGCGTCGGGGCAGACAAGTTGGACAAACTCTTTCAGAGTCTCCTGAGGATGATAGCGGATTGCTGGGTGTGAGAAGTATGGCCCAGGCTGTTGAATAATGGGTGATGTTGGAAAATGAAGAGTCGATGGTGTTGCATGTGGACTTGCTATAGGAAAGAAAACAAAGACGTTATATAGAGCTTTGCCTCTGGAAAATAAAACAGTTTAAATCTCTTGTAGTTTTAAGTAGCTTTTTTTTTTCTTTTTTTCTTTGTTGTTGGTTTGTTTTTAAATGTACAGTATTGTTTATACATCAATTAATATATTGGACCACATTGTGTCCTACACTCACTTCATCTAGATCCTGGAAGCAAACGGAGCCAGACATTTTGAAGGATTTTCTGTGTTTTTAGTGGACACATAGAAAGGAATCATCAGTCCTTTGTGAGAGTGAAAACTATTCATCACCTTAAGAGCAGCCCTCATCAATCAGGCAATAAAAAAATGTATTTGGGAGATTAGGGTTGATGTAATTGACATTTCATGTAACTTGGATTTGCACATACAAATCCATTTTACATTGTAGTATAAACGGTCGAGAATTTAAAGACAGTCTAACACTTCTTGTTGTTGGGGTGTTTTTTCCCCATCTCACTTCAGGAACATTTATTTTAAGCAACGTGTTTTTGCTTAATGAACATGCACAAAGTGGCGAGATCGTTTGGAAAATTACATTTACATTTCCCCTGAATAACGCTGGGCTCAAATCTTCAGCAAGCCCCCAGCTCACTCTCAGGGGTGAAGTTTAATTTGGTGAATTTATGGGCCAACAAGCCAGCTGGAAAATGCACTCCAGAGAAGGTGCAGAGGTGTGATGTACACGAGCCCATTGGCAATGACCGATTTTTACCCTCAGCTGATTTCAGCAGAACTACAAGTGCAGCTCCAGAGCCTTTTGCTCTCCTACATTATGTGACACCTTTGCCCAGTTCCTTGGCCTTCAAAATATATTGGGTTGGACTTTTGTTACCCAACAGTGCTTCCCATTGTTAGTTGTCACCATGAGGCAGCAACTGCTGCCACTTACAGTGCCATGAATTCTCCCTTTAAAATGAGGATTCACTCTTCCTTCAGAATGACCAATTAATCTGGTTGCACACAGGCTCGTCTGTAAATCATTGTTTATTTCTCACCAAACAGTCCTTGTTGCTCTCTAGGAGTCTTTCAGGGGTGTCCATGTGCAGAGATTGAGCTTGTACACTGCACATGACCAGTCAGAAAAAGGCTGTGCAAGGGAGGGGAAATCCTACAGAAACTCAGGTGTTGGCTTGGAAATAATTTAAATATACAAGAGGGAAAAAAAAAAAAAAAGCCTTTGGCACTTTTGGAAAAATTGGTGAGATGCAGGAAAGTTAACTAAAATCAAACACAAATGAGCAAACATTCATTTCATGATGAATGTTATGAAAGACCTTCAGTTAAATAAAAGCTAAAATCTGCTTCTTACTCTTGTTCATTGCCAGTTTAATAATATGACACTTTATTAATAACTTTTTTTTCTTTAGCATTATTAAGCCATTAGCAAACTCAAGAGCCTGAGGATGTGGATAAAACGTGAACTCAGAAACAGCAGCAGGGAAACTACTGCCTTTTCCTGTAAACACTCATTAAGGGTTGGCTGGGCAGCCCTTCTATACACGTCCCTTTCCACCACAGAATAGGAATTATTGCTCTGACACCACCCCCAAAAAGAGCTGCACTCGTGCCAGGGGTGCTGGTATGGGATGGATGTGAAACCCTTGTCCTTGCCATGAAAAGCTCCCCTGAATTCCATGTGAATCCCACAATTCTGCTCCCTTTAATTCTGTTGAAAATGTCCCCAATAAAAAGAGAAACATCAAAGGTGGAGATTCCAAAGGGGGATTCCCTTCTGTCACTGTGAGTGACCACCACGGAGACAATCATTACAATGGATAGAGAACTCAGCAGTGTCCAAGGAGCCACCTCACCCCAAAATAATCCCCTGCTCTGAGGTCGACACCTCCACTCTACCCACACACCTTCAGTCAGGTAGATCCCAGACAGCCTTTTGATGACTACAACAAAATTTTTATTAGCCCACATTATTTCTGTCTTCCTCCCTTTCTTTGTATCTGCTTTTGTAGTTCCCCCTTTCCTTGTGTGCCAGATGGAATATGAAGGATGAAGATAAAAGTGAGAAATGGACATTTATGTGACAAACATCTAATTAAGTAAGGAATAAATTGGAATTTCTGAAATATAAAAAGAGAATTTCCTTTTAGTATCAGCTCTTTTAGTACTATTTGAAATTGTTATGCAATTGCACTGTCCTTTATGAACAAACTCATTTCTGTTTGTCTCCTGAGTGAAAAGGAGATTGAAATGCATCTCAGTCAAGAAGGAATAAAGAATTGTATCCAGGAAACATGTGGGAATTCAAAGCTAGGCCTGAGACAACATTGTATTTAGCTTTTCCAAAGTACGGCTCTTAATTTGATAATTTGATTTGCTGTAAGAAAGATGAAAGAAATACTCAGTGGCATGTAAGGAGCAAGCCTTTCTCTGCTGTCCTGACCTCCTCAGCATGTCAAGGTAGAAAAGAAAGTGGAGAGTGTGTGTCAGTGACCTGCCCAAAGAGAGAGAAGCAAAACGAATGCAGGAAGGACCAACAATAATTCAGCACAGCAAAGTGCTGCAAGGAGAACGCGGCTCATCTTTGGAGCCTTGGCCAGCTCCTCAGCCCATCTCCAAGGGTTTCCTGCTGATCAGGGAAGGACTGGGGGAGGGAAACAAGAAAATTGGCATCATTCCTCAGCCTGTGCCATACACTGATGTGGAGGGGTCACTTTCTTCTTAGCATAAGGAGTAACGAGTGCAGTAAGGATCTCCAAAGGTTTGTTTTTGCAGTCTCTGACTAGGAAATAGCAAATTTCTCAAGTGCCAAAAGAAAGGGCTCTTTGATAAGAGGAGAAAAACCACTACTATTAAACTGATCAACATTACAAATGTGCCTGCCTGATGCTAGAGAGAGGGAATTAAATGCTAAAGTCTAAAATCTGCTGGCCCAGACACAGACCATTACTCTGATAGCTGTGTTGTGGTCAGCAGCTCTGGAGAGTGCAAAACTGGCCACTCCAACAAGTTCTGAGTGCAGAACACAACGGTGTTTCCAAATATAGGGGCCCTCACAAGCATTTTTAATCAGTTAAAGCACAAAGGGTAATGAAGCAGGTCATTATTATCCCTGTTTGCCTCTAAAAAGGCCAAGGGCCCTTTCAGTCATGATTTTCAGACTTAATAAAAATGATAAAGTCTTTAATTCCTAAACCCACACCTACAGTGATGGAAATTACCCTGTGTAAGAGAAGAGGCTCTTATTACCTCTGACGGGATATTACAAGTCTCAATCAGAGATTGTAAATTCTTTGAGATCTTCAAATGGAAGATAAAATAGGTCTTTGTCTATTATTTATTTACTTATTGACTTATTATTTATGTATCCCTAAGCAGCTCCATCCTGCCAAACCATATTTCTCCTGGCGTCTTTCAGCCTGTGACATTTATATTTTATTATTGACCTCAGTAAATGACATAAAATATGACTTCTACAATCTATGAAAAGATGTGTGCTCAAGATCAGAACTTCATTTCTACCTGCTGTAGGTATGGAGGAGTTGGACTCTCTGGCGTTATGAAATCTGTTATTTTGTGTAGGGGCTGGAGGCAGGAGTTATCCTTCCATCTCAAGGCAAGCATAAATATTTCAAAGCACACATGATTCTAATTCCATTGAAGCTGGTCTGAAACATCCCAGACTTTTTATTGAAAATGAGATGGTAATGTATGGTGGCCTGCAACAGATATACCAGTATTTTAAAACTGCTGCTATTGGGCCAAGTAATTATGCAGTACAGCTGTTGCGTGCTACACTGGATTCCTCAGTGTTTTATGAGCTCGTGGTGCTGTGCAGCACAGAAGTCACAGGATTTTTCAGAATGCTGAATTCTGATTATGCAGCTCTGTCTTGCCTTTCCCCTTCTTGATTTGTAGTAGCCAATAACCAAGTAAGTAACCAGTAAAAGAAGCTGAACCCATTGATTAGGTGAGCGCTGCACGTGAAGAAGAGCCAAAACTGTGAATGCTGTCCGAGAGTGATGAGACAATAAAGGATCACTTAATTTGAAACAGGTCACAGTTTTCTTCAGATTTTTAGGATCCTGGAACAAAGGAGCAGTTCCTAATGAAGAGCCCTGGGGTCCTTGCTCCCAGGGAGTGCTTGCTGACATGGTGAAGGGACACCTACGGTGCTCAGACAGGTTTTCCACCAGCACAGCCCAACATATGGGGGCACATACTGACCCATCCACCTTCCATCTCCTCTTCCAAAAAAAGCCCTGCCAACCCCTTCAAGTCCACACCACTAGATGGAATTCCTTTCTTCCTGCAGTCGTTTGAAGTCTTTGCAAGGATAGTTTGGTGTTGCTCAGGAAAAGGTGTTATCACCCTGGACTGTTCCAGGGAGAAGTGCTGGGAATCACAACCACTGCTCCTTCACAGGCACCAGGGCTGGCTGATCCATCAGCTGGATCAGGGCACAGTGCTCAGATACCTCCTCTATAAAGTGATAATTAAGTTTACTAATACTTCATTAAAGATTGATCAGCCTTCCTAGAAATAGTAACATTAGAACCATAATGAAACGGGATCGTTTTTTATCCGCTTGTTTTTGAGGCCATTATAATTGGCTTCATTACAATTAAGAAAGTATTTTCTGAAAAGTCATTTCCCTGGAAATGTTAGAGAACAGTTTGTTCTGCTAGCGACTTCCACGTCAGGCTTCTAAGTTGCTTTAACTCCCTGAGTGCTGCAAACTTTCTGCTGCCATTCCAGGGATGCCAGTTCAAATTATGCGAGATGGATCCCACCCTTTGTACCCCAAAGGTACTTATTCTCAAAATTGACCATATTAGAGGACTAATTGGCTAAGCCACCATGCTGGCTGATGTGAAATGCTTTCAAACACCATGAAACAGCTGTGTTTATCGGAAATATGAAGAGTGACTTTTTAATAAGGAGATCTGGCAATAATCCAAATTTGTTGAAAGGAACTTACACTTCTGTGTATAATACAATACAAGAGGTAAAG